CCGCGGAGCCGGCCTTGCTTTTCCAAGCCTTTTGCGCACTTTTCGGCCCCAAAGAGAGCGGTGACAAAGTGGTGACATCGCGGTGAGAGCGTTTTTGGGCCACGTTTTGGGACGGTAACGAGAGCCTATGGTGACATGGCTTAGGCGTTGGTCTCCGGAGCGACGTTTCGGAGGTTCGATTCCTCCCGGTACCTCGGCGGGCTGACGTGTTAGAGACCGGTGACATCAGCGGTGACTAGTTCAGCGGGCTGCCGTGTCATGTGGGAGAACCTCGGCGGGCTGTCGGGCTCCGAGCCAGGTCCTCGGCGGGCTGCCGCGTTAGACACTGGCGGACTCTGTGGTGTGCCTCGGCAGGCTGACGTGTTAGAGACCGGTGACTTCGGCGGTGACAAGCTCAGCGGGCTGGAATTCGCAGGCTTTGCGGGGTAGAAAACGGATTTCGGAGCACTGCAAACACCTGGAGCCGGTTTTCGGCGGAAAACGAGCGAATTTGGAGGCCCAGGCAGCACATTTGACGCCGGACGCGAAAAACGCACTTTTCGGAGTTCGCCGTTTTCAGCGCTTTTTGCTCCAAAAACGGAGCGGTGACGAAGCGGTGACTTCGCTGGTGACAAGCGTTTTTTGGCCGAAATTTGGCTGTTTTGCAGGGTTTTTTGGCCAAAATCCGAAAATTAATTGGTCCCTATAAGCTGCCTTTCCTTACTACTCAGCGCACCGGAGCATTCCTTCTGAGACTACTGCACGGCATTTTGGGACTGCACCCGCATCGCGCATGGTTGTTTGTGGATGACCTTTTAGCAGCACTGCGTCGCAGTAACGCAGACGCGCAGCTGGCCCTCATGGTCATGTTTTTGCAGCCGCATCGGCCCGATCTCCTGGAAGAAGGTTCAATTTCAGGACCTCACATGGTGTGGGTGGCGCATTAATTTCCTGCGCGAGACATCGAACTCACGCCGGAAAAAACTAAATTGCAAAGGCGAGCTGCTCAAAGCAGGGAAGGTCAAGCGAAAACTTCTAGACAGGTTCTGGGCCTTCTCATTTGGGCTACCAGTCTAAGTCCCGAACTCAGATCCTGGCTAGCGCCATTGTACACAGACCTGCGCTCGCCGCCGGGTTCATGCTCTCTGTCCATGCGCGTTTGTGGCCATCTTTCTTTCAGCATTAGACGCCAAAGCCGGGCTCAGGTTAGCATGCATGGCATTTTTATGCCGCCAAGCTCTAAAGTTCTACAGTTCCAAGGGGCATGCATCCACGCCAGCCGACCTGCCTTGCTGGGCTTCTTTGGTCAGGCATGGCCATTGTTCCTGCACTTCTTGGAATTGCCACGTCTCTGCGAACCACGCAATGGAGTTGCTGGAGATGACCGCTATACTGCCTTCGGCGCATGCATCCGCGGCTGCTTTGCAAGCCAGCATTGGCTTGCTTCTCAGCGGGATGCGAGGTAGATGGAAGCGCAAGTGTGCTCTGCGGAGGCGTCCGCTATGCGCACCCAAGCGGATTTGTGACTAGGCACAACGCGTTACATCGCATGCTTCGAAACCTTGGCCCAACTAGCACTCATGCGTATTGCATGGTCCTGCGAGGGACAAGGCGTGCATGGCATTTGCATGCCCACGGGACAGATAACACAGCTTCCAACTTCTTGCTCTTACAAGTCTTTGTGCAACTTGTTGCTGATAAACCAGCTTAGCAGGGTAATCCTCCGCATTCCAGGCTCGAGGCCAGAGCGCTAGACCGCAGGATTTCTGGCCTCACGCATCGCTCTTACGCTTCACCCTGCAGACGCACCGTGGAGACCCGAGCACGTGGCTGCATCGCAAACGCACTAAAGAGGGGGTAAGGTGATTTGACCGTTTGCTTACTCAAAGTGGGGGTATTCCGACAGGCTCCGCATGATGCAGGAAGATGGAGTGGCGCATCGTCGCTCCACCCATCAGAGCCTGCACTTCTAAGCAACGCTCAAGTAAAAAAGCGCGTATCGAGTTTGCTCCGGTCGGTTGCTTTTTTCCCTGCATGTCCCTTTAGGAAGCAGTGACCAAGATTCTGACGCTAGGGGTTTGTCTTTTCCCCTGTGTTTTAATCTTGGTTGCCGCGTGGCATTTCTGCTTCAAGTCTTTTGGTAAGGATGCCTGGAGGGTTTGACCCCTCTTTCGTTCTTTTTTGAACCCACCCTCCCACCCTTTCACGGCCCAGGGGCATCCAGCCTCCACAAGGCCGATTGAGGGACGCATGCACCCGCACGAATGAAGCTTGTCAGCTTCCAACATTCGTTGGCACTAAACTGCATCTCGCTGCTCCCGCAGGACCATTTCGAGCATATGCAGCGATGTGCGCCAATCGCACATTGACGAATGCCATCGGCATTCTGTCGGCCCGGACTGCCCTCTGCAGGAGAACGCGTCCTCTCATGCACACTCACGCACGCGTTGCACACATGTGCAACATACCTCATTTTTGTCTTCACCCCATGGGTAAAACACCCTGTGTGATGGTCGAACACGCATGTTGACCTTAGGGGGGTGTTCCGACAGGCTCCGCATGAGATGCAGGAAGATGGAGTGGACGCGCATCGTCATCCACCTGCATCTCAGAGCCTGCGCTTCTAAGCAACGCTCAAGTAAAAAGCGCGTATCGAGTTTGCTCCGGTCGGTTGCTTTTTTCCCTGCATGTCCCTTTAGGCTTGAAGCAGTGACCAAGATTCTAACGAACTACGCGGTGGCCGTTTTGCTCCTAGCCTTGACGCAAACCTGCGGTTTTATTTAAAATCCACCCACCCACCCTGCACTGCCTCATACAAGGCTCTGCAAGTAGGTCGCAGACGCTCTGCACTTTCGTTGTGGTCTCCGGACCTCTTGGTCTCCGGACCCGGTCTCCGGACCCGGTCTCCGGACCAACTCGGTCTCCGGACCATAGTCTCGGACCTTGGGCGCGGGCACGCATGCCACTAAAGCATTGATTCACTTGCAAGGACGCCATTGTCTTGCCCGTTTTAGTTTCACGGGGGGTCAACGCCCTCCTGTTCCAGGCGCACCAGTGCCCTGGAAGCAGTGCTACTTTCAGCAATTCCGGTAAAAAGAACTGCGGCCGCTTCGGACTTGCTTTGTTCTTTTGGGGGTTCATGTTTGGGTTCAAGCTAGGAGCAGTGCAACATGCCTTAACATTTTGTTACTACCTGCCTCTACTGCGGCGGAATGATCAGTGCTTGAAGGCAGACTGAAGTGATGTCCGGCAAAGTTTCCGCACGCAATGTCTCGCTGTGCTGGTTTTGTGAGGCAAAGCCAGGCTAAGCGGACTTCCTGGTTGTCCTTTTGGGACCTTTTCTCAAGAGAGGACCTTCTCCCAAGCAGCGCTTTTTTCCCAGCGCGCGCGTGTAAGAAATGAGCTAAGACGGCTATGGTGATGATGAAGATGCGATGACCCTGATGATGATGACGATGATGGATGACGGTGAGGATGGATGCTGATGATGGATGATGACGACGACGATGATGAGGATGATCCATGACGACGACGATGATGATGGTTGATGGATGATGGAGACGATGGTTTTAGATGATCGATGACCTATGATTGATCACGAATGACGTGGTGATGATGATGATGATGATGATGATGATGATGATGATGATGATGATGATGATGATGATGATGTTGCTGATGCTGGATGATGCATGGTCGATGGATGATGATGATGATGATGATGATGGTAATGATGATGATGGTGATGAATGACAAATGATGGCTTTTCGGTGTACAACTAACAAGTCAGTCTGATGCTCGAAATTGCCAAAGCCAGAACAAATCAATCTGAGTCCTCTCACAGGCCAATCTGATGCTCACAAGTCAATCTAACTGCTCCTCACAAGCCAATCTGATCCCTCTCACAAGCCAATCCAAAAACCAACAAGCCAATGACGTCCTTTACAAGTCATGTTGATGACTTTTCAAATCACAAGCCATTTTGATGCATTCCACAACCCGAATTGATGAGCAGACCGCCATCTGCGCCGCTTAGCGACGGTGAACGTAGCAGAGTCAATGACTACAGCGGCCGCGTGCCGGATACCAAGCGCCCACTTGATGAAGACTTTAAAATGTCTCAAGCAAATAACGCACTCTAGCAGGTCCAAGTATTTGATGGAGAAGATAGCAAGTAGCGCGGAATGTAAAAAATATATTGCTCGAAATGACCTCAAAGCCCCCTTTCAGCTCCAACCCTTAAGCCAAGCCGGCCCTTTAGACCCCCCCTTAAGACGCTCACTCCCTTTCCTGAAGCACCTCCCCAAGCCCTCCCCCACGCCCGCTGGCCCTGTCACTCGGGCTGTGTGGCGCTTGAAGGGGCTTTAGGGGGGACCTTAAGATTGCCTTAAAAGGGCCTTTTAGGTAAGGGGCTTCGGGGTGAAGGGCGGAGACCTGCGAAGGACCTTAAGGTGACCTTAAAGCCAATTCGCGCGAAGGTCTTCGTTTGGTGCCGGATCCACAACTTTCGGAAGCATTGTTCTTACTTTCCTTGACGTTGACCCGCAAGGTGCGGATACGCACCTGGGATGGGCTTCATGCACGAACCGCATCACTGAGTAGGGCTGCGAAATGGCTGCCAATTGGCTTGCCCTCCATTATTTGTGCACTTTGGCGCCTGGATTCTTTCGTGGGCACCGCAGGGGCAGCTTTGCAGCAACGCATGTTGCCTTGACCATGCTTACGACCATCCGGTCTGGACCCCCCTTTTTTGTTTGCATGTTTGGTTGTTGACATCGTTTTTTGTTTGTTTGTTTGTTTTGTTTTCCTGTTTTGGGCCTCCTTTGTGGCTGTCGCTGGGCCTGTTTTTTTTTTGGGTTTTGTTTTTGTCTGACATGTACCTTGCGGACCCTCTTCACAGACAGTGGCTGCGAGGTAAAACAATCTCGGCAAGTTCGACGAACTTGCGAAAACCCTTCGTGCAAACGTTTGTAGTTTTTCGGGATTCTGTTTTATGTAGCCAAATGAAATTCCGCAAAAAAAACATATTCTTGCATGTGTGCGCATCGGCGCCCAATATGTAGCCGGTCTTTTTCTATGAAGAGAAGTAGATGTGCTTTACAAACATATGTTCTGATTACAAACGCATCCAGGTCCAGGTCAATGAGTGAAGGCGAATATTGTAGTTTCAGCCAAGATTTGTTTTGGTTGTTGTGAATGATTGTCCGTCCATTTGGCTGAGGAACGTGCACGTCGTCCGAATCACCTCAAACATGCTTTTGGAGCGTTTTGCTCAACGTTCAGCTTGAGAAAACATGGCTATGGATTTCAACGCTTGCAGTCACGCAAGTCTGAAATCAAACTTGCCAGATTGTGGGCATGCAGGTCTTCCTTGGAGCTATGGAACGGTTCTCAGATGTTTATGGCAACATTACAGGAAGTGGCCTGTATGCCACGCTCAGACGCATCTTGAACTTGCAGTCGCGGGAGCACATGGAGCCTTCACTGTTGTGTGCTGAATGGGATGCCGTCTGGACAACTTTGGCCCAATGTTCAGGCACAGAATTTGTAGAGAGATGACGGTGAGACATTAGCATTTATCGAATCCCGGACCAGGGAAGACCGGTTCGCTTCTGTGGTAAACATTGAGATAGTGTAAATATGAGTGAGCAAATAGGCGTGCAGCGGCACTTACTTGATGTTATGTATCCGGGCGGCTGCTATTTGAAGCATGCAAGTGAATTCAGACACTCTGAGCCCATTGGTGTTGCCGTACTGAAACAACAACAGGCTTCACCAATTCTATCTGGCAAAATGCGTAGAGCTTCGCTATTGATGGCGGAGCATGTGTCTAAGATCTCTTGCGACGGCTGGCCAAATCATCGGTGTTGTATCGGTGTTGGCCATATTTTCGCGGCTCGGCTGGTGAGGTGCTGAATTGCGTGGCGCTTTCATGTCATTTTTACACCGCGTTTATGAATTGGTGCCCGTCTTGCTTCAGCTGTGAAGATGCGCATCCTCACAGGCTCCTACATTTGCAATGTGGAGGCGCGTTCTTCGACATGCAAGAGCCAGAACATCGCGTGATCAAGGCCGGTCGTGCCGCACTGTGATGCCTGATGAACTGAATCTTAGGCAGTGGCATCAGTCACGGCATCACCGCCCGTGTTGCGGCAAGCAGCCTGGCCAAATTCTCGAACGAGTGAAGGGGCCTGCCTGGTTGTAAACGGTTTCAGCCGCGTTGTCTTTGCGCTTTGCACGAGGAGAATTCATCACATCTATGCCATCATGGAAGTCAGCAAGGAGCGGTTGTTGCGGCTTTGGACCATGTCAACCAGCGGCTGTCAGGCAAATGCTGGTTTTCGGCGGAGTGTGACGCCTCTCACTTTTGTCATCCGGAGAAGAAGACGTGCGTTCCCTTCTGCCAAAACAATAGCCGCGCTCCCAGTTTCTCACGGTTAAAAAACTTGCAGAGAGCTTCAATTTGCAGAATCAAGTTGAATCTACATATGATTTTGTATGTGTGTGACGTACCTTTTTTGAAATCAACGTGGGCTGTTGCAGCTGCGCTTTGGCTTCTTCAGAAGCCAGGCGACAGAGCCATGAGGAATTGCAGCAGCTGCCTGGAGGGATGTCGGGACTTGCCTCTCAGCAGAATTTGTCCCCCCCTCCCCCCCGAAACCCACGCCCCAAGAGAATTTGACGGTATCTATACTACTTTTGGGTGATCTCCGCCCCCTTTTTAGGCACCTCAAAATTGACCATCTATGCCTGCATCTGCGCATTTGACTGCAACTCTATTTCCACCTAAAACACTTTAAAGCTTTTTAAAGCACTTTTGGATCCAAGATTTAAGATTCAAGATTTCCGGGACTCTTGTTTTTGAATTTTGATTCCATGAGCTACCTGGATGAAAGGGCCTTAAAGCGTTTTGCGGGCCCCATACTGGATTCAAGATTGCAGATCCAGAGTCCTGGGAATCTTGAATCTTGATAGATCCGAAAGCGCTTTAGACCACTTTCAAGTGTTTCCTATCAGTCATTCCTGTTTGATTTTGTTATTTTGGACTTGTGTGCGGGAAATACAGTTGCTGGTTCAGCATATGGACATTGGACAAGTAATTCTTCAGAATATGTTTTAGAAGTCCACGCTGACCCTTGGATATTGAACAACACTGGAAACACCTGTGTTTTGCATGCTTCAGATTTCGTTCAGGGAAATTAGTCATGTTAGCAGACAACGTGGCATCAAGGAATATAAGATGTGAGCGGATGTTCGCTGACAGACGAAGGGGATTTGCAGATGAGCCGAGAGGAGAAATGGGAGATGCGTAGCAGGTACTGGCACAGGTTTTTAAGTTGACAGACGCAGATCAGTTGAGATGTGAAATCGAAGATGCGTAGGCGGAGCAGAAGAGGCATTGCTTTTTTGTTCATACCCTTGCAACGGTACTGTCACAGAGATGTTTACAGTGAATTGAGCGAGGATAGCATAATTGATGCAGACTATGAAAAGCAAAATTAATATGGCCGCATGTTAACAGCAAAACATGTGAGAACATCACAGTTTCCATGGCAGATGTTCTATCACTGACTGACATATTAGAACACTTCAGAGAAGTATGTATCACATATCATGGCTCAGACCCTGTGTATTATGACGCTCTATCTAGCTTTGCTTTTACAATGTACCTAACCTTGCTTCTGATGCTATGTTCAAATTAACTTGTGTTGAAATAAGTTTAGTTTATGTCCGACAGATGTATGAAATGATTGAACGAGGATCAACAGGAGGAATGCCACAAACATATTTCAGACAGTAGAATAACATAATATTCAAATGGGTGGCAAAGTCTTATAAGTCATTTGCGCAAGTCTGCCACATTGGAAAATTAACCCACTTTTGGTAGCATCCATCTAACATCACCTGACTTGCCATACACAAGCAGCAGGCGCATTGTTTTTCATTTTTTTCCCTCTTGGGGGGGGTGCATTTATTTTTGTATTTAATTTGTGTATATTTTGTTATCAGATTTGGCAACCCTTTTCGGTCTGAGCGCAGGCACTGCGATGGCTACATTGAAGAACGGCCTGTGCGCTTGCGAACGTCTCCCAGCCGGGGCCTTTTTGCGCAACTGCGCCTGGCGAGTGAAAAGCCGTAACTGAGGCTGTGCCAAGCAGGTGCTGTTGAGCAGGTGCCCTGTTTGCGAGGACGCGGATGTCTGTCAGTGGCCAGTTTGGCCGAAAAGGATGTTGGCAAAACGGAGATTCTGCGACCAGATTGTCTGTTTTTGCTGTTCTCAATGGCCAGCCGCAACCGAAAGACAGGCGACAAGGAACAAGGTGGGCCTGCCTTCCGTGCAGGAGTCCTGCGCAGAGCTCAAGGACGCAACTGTACGTTTTCGGCAGGATGACCCACGGGAGACAGACTATTGGATCACCAGCTACCCAAAAACTGGCTCAACTTGGGCCGCTCGGCTGAAGTTGAAATCGATGTGGATTCGCCCTGAATGGCTGCACCGAGGTGCGACATCTCATTACCAATCTGCACACGGTAGCTGGCTCAGCTGAGAATATTTGATTGGTCTGCTGTTCCAACTGCTCAGGCTGTCACGAGCCAGCTGCGAGAGCCAGCATCATTCAAAGCCGTGGATGACTTTATTCCGTTCATCGAAGATGGCAAGGGCTGGACAAACCGAAGCATGTTCCGAGACCGCACTGGCCTGCGGATTTGGAAGAGCCATGCACCTTTTCATTGCGACAGTTTTCCCTGCAAGGCGCGGAAAGCGGCTAAAGTTCAGAGATTCCAATCGCAAGTTAATGGGGAAAGTGGAAAGCCAAGAACCAGTGAAAGGTTCCGGTTTGATGACTTGCAGCCCGTGCCAGGGCCACACAGTTGATCGACAAGCCCCAACGCAGTGCATGTGCCCCAACTGCGCCTCAAAGTTCCGGCGTGTCATCTATGTCTATCGCCGCTAAGCCAGACTGTTGATCGTACCATGCTTCCACCGGCATGTTCTCCAGTGCTTCCTTGGCCACATCACTTGGTATGTTTCACCTGGCTGAGTTCTGGGGCTGGAGATCTAAGGCCTTTTTTGGGTTTGAGCATTGGAGTGGAAGGGCAGCTTAGGCGAGGGTTCCCTCTGGCGTTCGGCAATGAATTCAAGTTGAACAAATTCGTGGGGCTTGCAGTGAACCCGACGCCAGACCCAAGCATCGACTACAACGCCAACAAGCAAAGTCAACCAACCGAAATCGGGGTCTCTGCCCAGATAGACTCTGGGGTGGTTTGGGTCAGCTTTCATTCAGGAGGGTTTCCCTCCAGCTTCCAGACGGTTCCGGGGCTGTTGGGGATGCCACCTCGCTTTGTTTCATTTTTACGTTGAACATCCCAAAATTGCAGAAGCCAAGCAGGCCACAGCGAAGCCAAAAGACATGAACGATTCTCATGTCTCGTTTGCCTTTAAAGCTGGTTTCGGGCTGATGTTTAAATCTGTTATTCTTGTTGAGATTGGCTTAGGAAATGGCTACGATACTCTGGCATCCTATTTCCGCTTCCGGATGGGACTTGGCCACGTGCGAGACAAGCGCCAGTTCAGCAACTTCGTGAACGATCAAAGGAGCGATTTGCTCGGCTCAGTGGCACGGCCACTTGATGTTTCATTCCGTAGGACTGTTGGTTTGACACCCTTGGGACCCCGGGCCTTTGTCAAATGCAGCCAGGATGTACCCCGGCGTCTCGTGGGCAGACCACATCCGATCTTGGCAGCACGCCAGCACCAGGCCGCTGCAGATCCTGTGGCCCTTCGACCGCCGTCTTTGGGGATGCCGGGACGGGGCCCGCGCGCTGGGTGCTTCGGTTGTCTCAAAAGTTTGGTTGCTGTGCCTGTTGGGCAGCTGGCCCGAGCTGAAGCTCAGGCTGCGCTACGAGACGCTGCGGGAGAAGCCGGAGCAGGAGCTGCTGCGTTTGGCACGATTCCTTGAGCTGGAGGCCACAGATGAACACATCAGGACCGAACGCAAACAGGTGAAGCGGGGGGAAATCGGCGCGCAGGGCGTGGGTTTTGGTGTGCCTCTGAGACCGGGTCAGGTTTGCCATTAATGCATCCTCGTCTGAGACGATGCAACAGATGGAGTGGCTTGGATGAAGGGGATGCGTGGACTTTAGCTTCCCAAAGCCAAGCCGAGGCAGAAGGAAGGCGGCTTAAACTTCTTCAAGCTCCGCTACAATCGCTCATCCCTGAAGTTTGTTGGCTCAGGCGGGTCCGGTAGATTCTGATGCCCCCGAGTGGCCCACCGAACAGGTATGGGAGACATGGCCACGCCTGCACTTTGGGATAGCATCACCGAGGCGGCCTTCTGTTTGCGCCAAGCTCGGTACACATTGCACACTTTTGGCCGGAAGGAGAAGCTGGCGATATGGAACATGCACAATGGTCAGATGCAGCGCTGCTTGGGTTATCCTGACGGGCCACGCTAGACGCGCTCGCTGAGCGCTTGACCGCCGGCCATGGGCAAGAAGTCGGCCGGGGTTGCCCGAGATGCTGGCGGCGCCCGGCGAGGAAAAAGCTTTGCACTGGTCAGTGGCAGTCAAGGTTGTGGGAGTGATTTCAGATGTCGCAACGTTGTGGGCAAGTCTCGAACCAAACAAGTCGGAAAGGCGTTTGCAGCCAATGAACCAGGCCAGGAACCAGAGTGCCTAATTGTGCAAGAAGCCTTGCACAATTTCTTCACCTGCATCAGCTTGCTCATGGATGGGAAGGACTCAACCCGATGCGATCAAACAGGCACTTCCAGGTTTTGATGGTTTTTTTTCACCTTTGGCGAGGCAGATGATATCAGATGCAGTGTAGCGCTGTGCAATCAGCGTGCGCGAGTCGCGTGAGGATGGCCTGGCCGAAGGGTTCGGGGAGCTTCTGCCCGAGGAAGCGGAGTTTGAGGTGCGAGTCAATGACCAGGAGGGTCGCTACATGGCCTGGGCCCCATCAGCATGCCCGCCCATTGGATTCTGGACTGATGTCTGCCAAATTCCCCACTTTGAGAGTATTTCAAGATAAGCCTCCTGTTGGAGCAGTTTGAGTACAGGTCGCCAGCAAGGACCTTGAGCAGGACACCTGGTTCCTGTTGGAGTCTCCGGTGGTGTGCTGGCCCTTGTCCAAGCAGGGCGGAGCCGACGGCGTTGACGCAGGCGAGCCCAGAGAGGAAACGCTCGGAGGGTTACATGGGTTTGGTCGGACTTCTTTGATGCGATGCGGGTGATTGCGGCTCGCAAAAGAAGGCGGCAACTTAGCCAGCGAAGCAAAACTTCCTCAGGCTTTGAGGCTCTTGTTTCTTGCCGTGGCTCAAATGGGAAGTTCTGCTGTCTCACATTCAGTCCCTGATTTCCGTGAGGCCTGAGCGAGGTGGGCAGCTGGTGCGAGGCTGGGCCAGCAAGACAGAAGCCTTCCAGTGTTGGCCATAAAATGCTTTCGGGGTTGAGAGGGCTCGTTGGGCTGTGCCAAGGTTTTGCCGGCTCGATCGGGATGTTCCGGTACTTAAGAGCTTGGTTGCAATAGGATTATAAAAAGCCTGCATGCTTCGTTACAACTGCGGTAGAGCCAGAAGTCAGCTCGGGTCTCGGGCACTAGCCTTTGCTGCCTGAGGGTTGCCTTCGCGAGCTGCCCGAGCTGCCCGAGCCCGAGCGTCGGCTGCGGCCGAGGCCCCGGGTTGGCTTGGGGGCGCCTAGGCCCAGGGTGCTTTAAGAGGATGTGGGAAACCCAAAGCAAATTTTCACCCCCACAGGCTCCCAGTTCACCGCTCATTCGGCCCTGATTTTCTGAAAGCCCCTTACAAAACTCAACATGGCACTCTTGACCCTGCGCTTCCCCACCAAACCCACACCTCACGTTGGGCAGATTGAAATGGGCGGAAACCAACCGCGCAGGCTCACATCCAAGCCGCCCAGGCCGAGTGCGGGCGATTTTGGGTGATTTAGCTCCACTCGCTCCCAAACACTCTATTTGCACGTCTGAGGCTTTGCGAGCCATGTGCTGCTGGCGGTTGGGGTCAGATGCTCACAGAGGAGAGACTGAGACTCTGGCGCTTTGGATAGAAGATAGGCGGCTATGGATGGGGAGCCCCCTCAGCAAAACAGTTGGCAGACATAAATGCTCCTGTAAATGATGTTCGCCAAGGGATCCCCACAGAAAAAACCTGGATGAAAGGGGAATCCGTTGGTTTCGAGGAGGAGCTTTCGTCCTGGCGGCGCTGGCAACAGCAGCGGTCGCCCAGCAGCTGCGTGGGCTTGGAAGCCTTCGGCCGGTGCCTGGCCCGCGTGGGGTGCTGAGCTCGGAAGCGAGTGGCAAGTGGCCAGTGCGTTGCACTTTGCGCCGGTTCGCGCGCGCGGTCTCAGGTGGCCCTCACGGCAATGAAAGCTAAAGAGGCGGATGACCTCATGCCATGCCCTTTCTTTCGTCGCGGGTACCCTTTTCGGAGTTGTGGAAAGCAAGCTTTAAAGGGCAATATACACCTAGCTGCAATACGAACTGAAGTACAAGTGTAGTTGAAGGTGAGATGGATGCCCTTGCCGTAGGCGCGGAAGCTGCACTTTTGCTTCTTCAACCTGTTTTTGTGTAGATTGAGTTCTTTGCATCATTCCTAAAACGGGGACCTGATGGATCCGTTTTCCGCAGGGGGTGCCTTCAGGCGGGGCTTCCGGGGCCGGAAGCGCTGGGCTGCGCGCTGGCTCCCTTTGAGAGGCGTGGCACGTGGCGCGTGGCGCGCGGCGTGTGGCACGTGGCTGGCCCCAGGTTGCAGGGCCCGCCACAGGGCTCCGCGGTGGAGCCTGGAGCTCGGGTCAATTGACATGAGTCAAGGTGAGGACCTGGTTACTTGGGCGCATGAGCCATTGACCCGAACAACGGAGGTGTGCCCATGCCGCCTGTATGACATTCCTACCTTGGTTTGCGGTGTGTGTAACTTGTCAAAACTTGCGACCCCCGGCCCAAGGGCTGGTTTTGATGCTGGTTTCGTTTAAGAGAGCGCTGCATGTTCGACATGTTCAAGCTCTTTGTGACGCGTTGCGCCAGCCTGACTGTCTCGAGGCTGCACGGTACATCGCGCTTTGGCAGAACTTGGAACGCCTCGTTTTGGTTTAGGAAGGGCCCAGGTCCAGTTTTTGAGTTTGGTATCTTCCACGGGAGCTTCCCCAAGCTCACCTGCCAAGCTGCAGCTTCGGCTTCCTTGCGCCGACGCCCGCGCGTCGCATGGTCGGCGCGTTGCGACGGGACGCGAGGCCGGCTGAAGTGGCGGAGACGTTGGGATGCTCGGAGCCCTTCCGGAGCAGGCGCGCGTGCTCCCAATTCCGGTGCTCCCAATTCCGGAGGGGAACCCTTCCCGCAAACCGAATTGTCCCATTCATCACACAGCAAAAGTGAAGCTCACGAGCCAATGCCTTGGGGTGAATGAGTGGCCATTGGATTGGGGTCTTGGTCTTCATAATTTTTGTCCACTGGCCAGCCCCCGGTTTCTTTCATGCAGCGCGGGTTGAAAGGAAAGCCTTGGCCGAACCCCCTCTGGGTTTGGTTTGGCTTCAAGGGGAACCAAAAGGAAGGCAACCAGCTTTTTGGTCCTCTCATTTTTTTTCAATTTTGAGACAACCACATTTGGAGTGTCGTAAAATACAGGACTCCAGAAAGAATGTTTTCCTTTTGGTTGCCCTGAAAGCAACCCCAAAAGGGTACCCTCCAAGACCGAAAGAGACCATCGGGCATTGCAGGCTGCAGTCCGCCCTGGGCAGCGACAGCGCCAGGCTGTTTTGCCAGGACGCAGTGACGCAGTGGGTGTGTGAGTACCTTGGTTTATGGAAACAAAGACTGAAACCTGTGTATCCCCAGCTGTTCAACTTTGAGCCATACTCAAATGGGTCTTTCTCAAAATAGAAATGGTTCGCATAGAATTGTTGGTTTTCTTTTGTGTTCTCTTTAAGTTCCAACCAAAAGAGGATCCACCTTTTTGAGAAGCTTCCATGTTCCCTGTTGATAGTGGAACATGGCTGACTCACTCTGCGTGCGAGAGTTTGTTGAAATTACAAGTGCGCAGCCATGTTTTCCTGGTCGACCGCAGCTACGAGCTGTCAGAACAAGCTGACTAGCTGGAGTAGTCATCATTTCAACCAGCGCTAGGACTTGGGAGGCAGGCTCGTCCTTTTCAAACAAGGACTCAGTACTTGGAATCATAAATCAAAAGCAACACACACCGGTGGCGAGTGGCTGGGGATGTGAGCACTGACGGCTATGCCATGAGAGACCAATGCCGGGCGGATACATCATCCAGGTGCCAAGCTGATTTTGCTTTTCTTTTCAAGTCAATCTTTGAGGCGCTGCAGCCAACTGCACCATCCTCCGATCAGCCTTTCTGGCGCCTGGCTCAGGGCTGGGCATAGAATGAGCTTTGCTCAAAATCACCATTGTAAAGCCACCCAGGTTTTGTCCTTTAGCCATGCGGTTTTCTCTTTTGCGTCCGAAGCTTTTTGGTTCTCAGGTCCGCCGCCGGCGATGCCACTTTCGCGGGGCGCATGGGCATCAAGGGCCTGGTGGAAGCCAACAATTCGGCTGAGCCGAGAGCTCGGCCAGTGAGAGACTCCTCCGCTGCTCCACTGGTCTCAGGCTTCTGAGACTGGCGTACTTGCAGTCGAGGACAGGGTTAAAAAGACGTGTATAACTTATATAACGTTATACAACGAACTGCCGAACATGATGTCTGGCAAAGCGCCCCCAAGTGAAATTCATAGCATGGGCAAAGGAGCCCAGCTGGCCGTGGATCGTACCCAAATGGGGGTATCCAACAAAATCCGCCCTTGGTGGGTAGTGTGCCCTACGGTTGGAAGCACCCAACTGGAAGGAAGATGCGGAAGATCACGTCGGTGGCGGCGATGCGCTCGTCGGAAGCCACGGGGGTAGTTGCTTACATGCAGGCCAGGGAATCAAATGGCTGATGTTTGACTCCGGTCATGAGCGAGAGATCCCCCAATAGATGTTTTGAAAAGAAGGCACACCCGTAGACACTGGGACCTTGTGTAACAACCAAGGGGCTTGTCAAGCAAAGATCACGAGGCTACTTCTATCCTCTTGGCCTGAAACATGGAAAACATGAGATACCAAGTGTCTGGCGCGTGCAGAACGTCACGGACCCCGGCATGGACAGCGGTCTCTTCGGCGGCAAGTTGCTGACTCCTGGCTGCATCGATTGAGGCATGCCAAGTTTTGTGGTGAGTAAAGGGATGCTTTGGGACCCATTTGATAGGCTTGATTGCGACTCCGCCAAATTGGAAAGTGCCGAGTTCGAAGATCGGTGGCCTGGCTGGTGCTGGCCTGAGCTTCGAGGCACAGGCTCGTGTTTGTTGCATACGCCGATACACCGCTCAGGCGAGAAGGACCCGCTGAAGTGGCAGATCGACACGGGCGAGGGCTTCTTGAAGGATGCCCCCGATGACATGATGGGAGACATGCTGGGAGCCGGCATGGCCATGGCGAAGGCGACTGCCTCAGTAAGTCAGCTACTGCAAGAGGCCGTGCAGATTTCAGCGATAGTGCCCAGGGATTGATGAAGAAGAAGAAGGGGAAGAAGGGCAAAGGAGGAGGCCGCGCACGTTGCATATGGGTTGTGAAGATAGAGAGTCCATGGGCTTTCGCACGGCAGGCTTGGCCGGCCTGGCCAAGGGGCTGCTGTCCGCCGGCAGTCCTCCGAAGGCGGGCTGATGTTGAGAAGCGAGAGAGAGTGAACCAGGCAATGCGAGCTCAGGTGGATATGGCGGCCTATGAGATGCAGAAGCAGCTGCGGATCACCGAAGACTTCGCCCGAAGGGCGGCCAGGACCTTGGGCCATGGAGGTCACATTCGGGTCATTTTGGGTGAACCCCTCGTAACTGGCTTGTCACAATGTGCGGCCTTCGTGTTCCACATGTTTGCTCATGTGTTCCCAGAGCTGAGGTGCTGACTGCAGCTCAGTTGGAAGACTCTATCGGCAAGGCTGGGTGAGAGGGTCTCTCTTCTGGACGCAAACGCATCAGTCCGGACAGCCGGACTGGTAGGCCAGTGGCCTGGCCAACGAGACGGTGGGGAAGAGCGCGGAGCTGCTGAACCTGCCGGGCTTCCCACCCCAGGCCCTGCGGAGACCTCCTCCACCCAAGGGCTTCGGGGATCGGCCCTCGGACATGGCCCCGGCCTTTCTGGACTTCCTCTACCAGATCCCATGGACACTTGAACAAACTTCAAGCAGAAAGGGACGGAAGAATGCGTCGGAAGCTTCTTGGGCAACATAATGTTCTGAGTTCGCTCAGGAAGGAGCGCGTGGCGGCTGGGCCCAACTCCATCCTTGCGATGGCAGACCCGTACTCGGAGCCTGGCGGTGTGGGCCGAGAGGCGAATTGGCGGCCGATTCGCTGCGACGCCCATGCGACGTTGCCAGGTGCACGACTTCTTCGGCTCGCCCCCGCTGCCTCCGCCTCCCGGCGGAGATGATGACGGGCAGCCGCTCGGCGCGAGACGGGTATGCCAATCAAGTGAAAGAACATCTGATCTCTGGTGTCCCTAATTTTCGACCCCCTGGTGTCCCTTTCCGACCCAGATGTCGCGATGTGCGCAAAGCCGAGGGCCGGTCTGGCCGGCGCAGCCTCCGGCGCCTTGGGCGCGGCCTCCGGCGCCTTGGGCGCGGCGGCCGGATTGGCAACGGCGTTGTAGCCAAAAGCGCTGGCCGGTGCACGTCGAAGACCCGAGTGAGACTGGTGGGGAGGCTGGTGAGTGGGCCTTGGGGTGCGGCTGGAGGAGACGATCGCCGCGATGGCCGGCAAGTTGGTACTGAACGCAGCCAGCTTCACCGTGCCTCGGTGAGAGAAACGTGCAAAGTCGTGAAGTTCCTCCCATTTGCTTCGCTCACGAACTGCAGGTGCCAGCTGCGAGGCAGGGAGAGCCCCTTCAAGCAGCAGGTGCCTGGACCCCCATGGCTCGGATGTCAGGCCTTCAACAAGCGTTCTTTCATGAGTGCCCAGTGCAGGGACAGGTTTGCATTTTGAGAAGCCCAAGGTTTATGTGCTGCTAAGCACCATGAACCACTCCTGCGTTCCCTCTGTGCGCTTGTCAACCTCTGCGGAGTCTGGTGCTGAGGCAGGAGATGGCAGGAGCTTGTGATGATTCTGACATACCATGGCTTCTGATCCTGAGTGCATTTGCCAGGTGTCGTTGCTGACCACCAGGCCTTTGCAGGCTGGGGATCGCCTCACCTTGGCCTACGTCTCCCCGGAGTGGCGCGGGCCCCACACGGGCCCGGCGGGCCCCATGGGCCCCGCGGGCCTCGTGGCCACTGGGCTCCGCTTCCGAGCTTCCGAGCTTCCGTCCGATCGAGGCCTTTGGAGGAGCGGCAGCAGCAGCGGAGCGCCCAGCGCGTTTCCGTTTGACCGGCGCCGAATCCATCGGGAGGGCGTTTGCAGTGGCATGCACCAGACGCCATACGCAGAAATGAACGGCATGAAGCTCCGCAAAACGCACAAGTGGTTTCCCCAACCCAAAAAGCGGACCCTGAATGACACGCCTAAAAGGAGCTCGCCATCTATCCCATTTCACGAGGCTGAGCCATTGGTTCTTCAAGTGCTCCTGCCCTCGCTGCGAAGCTGAAGGCGGGAACCTTGCGGCCTTTCAGGCGAAAAGTGTAGAAGCAGAAACTGGTTTAACAGGCTTTGGTGTCAACGAAGCACCAGTGCTGCCATTTCGTTGGTGTTCTTGGTAACCTTGGCTGCTGGCAAGAATCCCTTTTAGGGTTTCTTCTGGGGGACCCCTTTAGTCTTGCTGCCGGGCGGTTTCTTTTAGGGTTTCCTGTGGCGGGCATGGCTCTTGCTGCTGGCCGGTTCCTTTTTTCGGTTTCTTCTGGCGTGACTCTTGCTGCCGGCCGGTTCCTTTCAGGGTTTCTTGTGGCGGGCATGGCGCTTGCTGCTGGCCGGTTCCTTTTAGGATTTCTTGTGGGGGGCATGACTCTTGCTGCTGGCCGGTTCCTTTTAGGGTTTGTTCTGACAAGCATGGTTCTTGCTGCTGGCCGGTTCCTTTTAGGGGTTTCTTGTGGGGGGGCAGACTCTTGCTGCTGGCCGGTTCCTTTCAGTGTTTCTTATGCGGGGGCATGACTCTTGGTGCTGGCCGGTTCCTTTTAGGGTTCCTTCTGGGGGTCATGACCCTTTCTGCTGCCGTATTCCTTTTAGGGTTTGTTCCGGCGGGCATGGTTCTTGCTGCTGGCCGGTTCCTTTTAGGGTTTCTTGTGGGGGGCAGACTCTTTCAGCTGGCCGGTTCCTTTTAGTGTTTCTTATGGGGGTCATGACTCTTGCTGCTGTCCGGTTCCTTTTTTCGGTTTCTTCTGGCGGGCATGACTCTTGCTGCTGGCCGGTTCCTTTTAGGTTTTTTTGTGCGGGGCAGACTCTCGCTGCTGGCCGGTTCCTTTTTGTGTTTCTTGTTGGGGGCATGGCCCTTGCTGCTGGCCGGTTCCTTTTAGGGTTTCTTGTGGGGGGCATGACCCTTGCTTTTGGCCGGTTCCTTTTAGGGTTTCTTGTGGCGGGCATGACTCTGGCTGCTGCCCGGTTCTTTTTAGGGTTTTTTGTGGCGGGCATGGCTCTTGCTGCTGGCCGGTTCCTTTTCGGGTTTCTTGTGGGGGGCAGACTCTTGCTGCTGGCCGGTTGGTTCTTTTTAGTGTTTCTTGTGGCGGGCATGACTCTTGCTGCTTTGAGGGTTTCTGTTTGTTCTGGCGGGCATGACCCTTGCTGCTGGCCGGTTCCTTTTAGGGTTTCGTGTGGGGGGCAGACTCTTGCTGCTGGCCGGTTCCTTTCTTGTGGGGGCATGGCTCTTGGTGCTGGCCGGTTCCGTTTCGGTCTTCTTGTGGCGGGCGTGACTCTTCCTGCGGGCAAGGTTCCCTTTAGTTTAGGGTTTCTTGTGGCGGGCATGACCCTTGCTGCTGGCCGGTTCCTTTTTGGGTTTCTTGTGGCGGGCAGGACTCTTGGCGCTGGCCGGTTCCTTTTAGGGTTTCTTGTGGCGGGCAGGACTCTTGGTGCTGGCCGGTTCCTTTAAGGGTTTCTTGCGGCGGGTGTGACTCTTGCTGCTGGCAAAGTTTATTCTGAGGGTTTTTCTGTGGGGAGCGTGGCTCTTGTTGCTGGCAAGGTTCCTTTTAGGGTTTCATATGGCGGGCGTGACTCTTGCTGTTGGCCAGGTTTCTGTTAGGATTTGTGTTTGGCGGGGGTGATTCTTGCCAGCAGCAAGGTGGCGTGACTCTTCCTGCTGGCAAGGTTCCATTTAGGGTTTCTTGTGGCGGGCATGGCTCTTGCTGCTGGCCGGTTCCTTTTTGTGTTTCTTGTGGGGGGCATGAGTGCTGGCCGGTTCCGTTTGTGGTGCCTTTGTTTGGTTTCTTCTGGCCGGCATGACTCTTGCTGTTGGCCGGGTCCTTCCAGGGGCATGGTTCTTGCTGCTGGCCGGTTCCTCTTAGGGTTTCTTGTGGGGGGCAGACTCTTGGTGGTGGTTGGTTTTTGTTAGGGTTTGTTCTGGCGAGCATGACCCTTGCTGCTGGCGGGTTCCTTTTAGGGTTTCTTGTGGCGGGCAGGACTCTTGGTGCTGGCCAGTTCCTTTTAGGGTTGCAGCTAGCGGGCTCCCAAGGAAGACTCCGCCTTTGCACGGAGCACAACAGAGGCTCCAGAAAGATTTCGCCTTTGCACAGAGCACCACAGGGCACAACAGAGCACCACAGAGCACTACAGAGGCCCCAGAAAGATTCCGCCTTTGCACAGAGCACTACAGAGCACCACAGAGCACCACAGAGCACCACCGTGCACACAGAGCACTACAGAGGCCCCAGAAAGATTTTGCCTTTGCACAGAGCACCACAGAGCACCACAAAGCACCACAGCGCACCACAGAGCGCTACAGAGCCCAGAAAGATTCCGCCTTTGCACAGAGCACCACAGAGAACCACAGAGCGCCACAGAGCACCACAGAGCACCACAGAGCATCACAGAGCACACAGAGCACCACAGAGCACTACAGAGGCCCCAGAAACACTTTTGCACAACCGCAGAGCACCACAGAGCACTAAAGAGGCTTCGCGCAGAGCACCGCAGAGGCCCAGAAAGACTCCGCCTTTGCGCAGACCACCAGAGCACCACAGAGCACCACAGAGCGCTACCGAGGCCTCAGAAAGATACCGCCTTTGCGCAAAGCACCACAGAGCACCACAGAGCACCACAGAGCACCACAGAGCACCGCCGTGCACTACAGAGGCTTTGCACAGAGCAATAGGCCCCAGAAAGACAGGACAGAGCACCAGAGCACCACAGAGCACCACAGAGCACTACAGAGCACCACAGAGCACTACAGAGGCCCCAGAAAGATACCGCCTTTGCGCAAAGCACCACAGAGCACTACAGAGCACCACAGAGCACCACAGAGCACCACAGAGCACCACAGAGGCCCCAGAAATAATCCGCCTTTGCACACACCAGACATCACCGTAGAAGCCTTTGGTGTAGAAGAAGATGTTAAACTAGTTTTCGAATGCTGGTTTCGAGTGGTTTTGGAATATTATGGCGCCTGGTTTTGGATATTTTTTTTGCGACCGCATGCACACGAAGCACATGTAAAAGTATGAAGTTGTGTGAGGGTCGCTTGAGAGGTGTCTACAGGCATAGAGACTTGTTTGAATCTTGCTGAGCTGCGTTAAGATGTAGTCAGCGGCAGTTGAAATTAAAGGTTTTCCGTCAGCACGAAGGGACAACGGGTCCCCTCAGCCGTAGTTTGCCGCATGCAGTTGAACGGGGAGTGTGACTTTTCCATTCTTTGCCTGCTGGGCCAGGCCGAATTCACGAGGCCTTAGAAGAGTCAGCCGCGGTCGGAGAAACGCAAGATACGGCTTCTGCGTGGCAGAGCTGATGACTTCAGGTTTCGTCAAGGTGAGGTTGTCCCTTTAAGCAGGTCCAGAGACATGTCCGGAGAAGAGGACCCAACCAGCATGGTACATGAGCATTCAACAACTTGACCGATGGATTTGCTTTGGTGGCTCTCACAGCTAGCAAGCCCAGGGGGTTGTGGCAAGACCAGCAAATCAAAGTCATGTAAGGTTGTCAGCAAGCATAGCTGCTCTAAGACTTCAGTCTTAGCGCTTAGCGGTTTTCATTCCCATCGCTTGCATCGCTTCCGGAGCAAACCCGCTGGCTAAAAACAAGGCCAGTTCCTGCCATGGGTTGCTGCCAAGGAGGAAATGTTTCACAAACCCCGCTGGAGGCTGGCTCACAGCTGCTGTGCGCAGACAGAAATTGGCAAAGGGTGGAGGTGTTGGAGGCAATTTTGAAAATGAATTTGCAGTGGCTTCCCAGCGATTAGCAGGACTTGCAGCTTCATACCAAGCCAATGCCTTTGCTGTTGCTCGCGACACATTTCCTCGCAGGTGAAAACCGTGCCGGCAAGACCTCCTGGAGCAAGTGGTCCCTTTCTCCGGATGTTGAGCATCAACGATGTGTACACCTTGGAAAACTATGCTCGCTTCGCAACAGCGGTGAAAGAATGCAAGGCAGCCAGCAAAACCTTGGGATGCGTGGTGACCTCACATTTGAACGGCGACTTCCTCTCCCCCTGCCTCCACACCTCGCTGGATGGAGGGACCACCATGATGCAGGCCTTGAACTTTGCGCAGGTGGACTACGCATGCCTGGGCAACCATGAGTTTGACATGGACAAGTCGCAGCTGGAGACGCGGTTGCCACTGTTCAAAGGCGCGAGGGTGCTGGGTGCTTGTTTCAACTTTGGCGCCCGCGGTGAGCAAAGCTGACAGTTTCCTAGCCGGGAGACATGTCTCAATCCCCGGAGATTCTTTGCAGCTCAGCCAGGTAAGCTGATCAACACCAACGGCATGGACGAGCAGCTGAAGAGCTTGCCGAAGTACGATGTAGTGGAGGTGGGAGACAAGAAGCTTGGCTGATGGGCTCCGTGGATTCCGTTTCGTAACGAACAGAGGCACCGAGAGGCAAAAGGTGCTACTCGGGCCTTGGACGGGGTGAACTCATGCGCGACATGGAGTTTGCAATGGCTAGCTAAGAGCAAAATCAACCATCACATGTTTATCAACAGTAGTTCCTATACATATTTGCATTGGTCGAAAGGGGCCACATTGGAACGTGAATATGCCCAGGGATTCTTGTCAACCAACGCTTCCATCATTCACCAGGAAGCCCAAGATCTCCCGTTCACTAGCCAACATACAATGGAATCACGAGACACAACCTATGCTACCCACAAGATCCGATGACGACCACTTATTCACGTATGATACGTTCACATATTATTCAATCTTAACCCTCAGCTTGCAAGTGCAAGAACACAGTCTACGTAGATTTGATGTTGGCAGCAACTTGGATTTGAGTGGGTTTGGTGCCCATATGCCTAAGGTCTCTTAGTCCCCTGGGTTGCTCCCGCAAATGTGTTGCGTAGATTGGCAACGCTGGCCTCCAGCTTCTTCCAGGGCGGCACTTGTCCGCAGAGTCAGTGGACTGCTTTCTGGATAGTCAGGTCCCATAAGTATCCGTAAGTTGCTTGTGGCTAAAAGTTCTTTGAGTCCTTTACTCCCAAGGAGCATTTCACCAAGTTGAAACAGAAGCAACTTGTGTGACAGAACAAATCTCAACACACACACACACAGCGCTGTTCACAGAGAGTCGGGACAATCCCAGGCAAGCCTCACAACATACGAGCCAGCTTCTTTGCCTCCTATGCTTGTCAGTCTCTGAAACTGAAGGGAAACCAAAGGAGCGACCGGATTCTCGGTTCCGAACATGTTTTCGGGTCCGGAACTGAGTTTGTCTCGAACATACATTCCTTGTGGTTTCCCTCAGCAAAAAGGACACCAAAGTGAGCTGAGCCGATTTCCCTCTTTGGCTTCCCTTCCCCCCCCCGGGGGCTGGGTTTTCGCCCCAAGCAAACCACCCCTAGTCCTTTTTCGCCCCCCTATTTTCCCCTCCCCTTTTTCCCACGGCTTGCGAGGAAGGTGGTCTTTGTGGGGCTGTGCATGACGGACAAGTCCATCTTCGCGGCGTCCAACTGCCCCGACATGCGGCCCTTCGTAGACTCCTGCACCAGCGCCTGGGAGCAGGCCTTCAAGGGCCAGCAGGCGAGCGAGGGGCGGACGCGGATTTGAGGGGATGGGATTGGGGATTGGGGTGAGGGGTGGGTGCGGGGTTTTGAACGAAAAGCCCCCTTTCTTGGGATGTTGTTTTGGCCGGTCGGTTTCCCTTGAAAAGGGTCCTTGGCCGTAATTTGGTTTGGAGGCCATGCCAGCAACTGTCCGAAAGGACTCCGCGGAATGTCTTTTCACGGGAAACCTGCCTTTTGGCTGGTTTTTCAAGAAAGGAAGTTGAAAGAAAACAATGGGGTCGATTTCCTCAAGTGGTCCCATAGTTGGAACTGAAAGAATCTTTGCGCACATCGGGCAAGCTGTTTGAGCCGCTCCAACTGCTTTTTGCTGGGAAAGCGGCTTGAGTGCTGAGAGTCGGACTTCAGCTCAGATTTCAATTAGGCGCGGGCATGGGGATGCAAGGGTTCGGAGGGTTTTGCAATATTCTTAACTGGCAGAGTGCGCAAGCGCGTGTTTATGCCGTTAAGCTGTTGGGACATTTTCCGAATTGGGATGCTGTTGTGTTTGTACACAAGGTACGCTTGAGCACCAGCTGGGTTTAAACGGTGGCTGTACTTGCGCGTCCCCATTCCACCATAAATGGACCCACTTGGAGTATCCCGAAAATTGAGTTGACCCCAGCCCTTTCTTTCTTGCATGCTTCCCTCCTTTCAGCTGTTGCTACCAAGCTTTTTGCGCCAGGTCGATGTGCTGGTGCCCATGACCCACCAGTTCATTGAGGAGGACCGCCTCTTGGCCGAGCAGTTCGAGATGCACGAGGCCCTCAACTCCAAGGCGGGGGCCAGCGACGGGTGCTGCTAGACTCAAGTTGCCCTTTTTGGGGCCAGCTTCAGGAGGCGGGACGCCAGGCGGAAAAAACACCTGAGCAGGGTCCCAAATTTTGGCGCTGACAATCAAATTTGCCAGCCCCGCAAAAATTGGGACGCCTCATAGGCCGGTGTAAACAGGTTTTCGTCCATGCCAGTCTTGTCCGATTGCTTGCAAAGCTTGGAGATTCGTTGAAGCAGAGCAGAAAGGGCGCAGTGGAAGCCGAAACCATAGGTGCCGGTGATCCTGGGGGGTCATGAGCATGACATCTTCGAGGAGATGGCCGCAGACACGTTGATCTTGAAGACGGGCCAGGACACGGCAAGATCTGGGTGTGTTGTTGGAGTGCATTTAAAGGGGAACCAAAGGGAAGAAGACACCACCTTTGGGGGTTCCCTTATTTAAAACCGCATAGTCATTTTTTCCTCGGGCGATGAACCTAGTCGGGAGGTCGGCAGTGCTTCAGGTCCCCCCAATGGAAAAATGGGTGTGACTTCAGTCTCGGGCTCGCCTGGGAGGACGCTGCAAAGATCGCCGTGGTAGACATTTGGTGGGCCTCGGATGGTGTGACTTGGGTTGTTTGGATTGCAGAAATGAGGACAAAAGCTTTGAGACCGGGGTGGGAGGGAAGCGCAACCACATCGAGCACTTTGAAAGCTTTCACTTCATGTTGCTCTAGTTCTTCCGTCCGGCCACTTGTGACTGTCGAACATGAAGCTGCCCAGCGAACTGGCAACCCATCCGCCCACTGTCCAGGATGCAGCACATACGGGGATGGACGAGATCCATTTCGCACCACCTAAGAAAGCCTGGACTGATGATTCCCTTGTAAATACCAACACACGGTGGTTTCCCATAGTTTCAAAGTGGTGCAGGATTTCGTCCATCACAGTAGGTTCCGTCATCCGCCAAGAGCATTTGTTTCTTTTGTTTTTTTTCCCCCAGGTGAAATGTCGCCATTCGCTGATCCCCGCCGAGAAGTTCAAGCCGGAGGCGTCAGCAGCAGCCTGGGCCAACGGCCGGAAGAAGTTCGTGCAGACGGCCATGGAGGCGCATAGCGGTCGGGTGTGTCTCGAAACGGGCTTGAAACCCAGCCTCAGGTTACACGCAAAATGCAATGAGAGAGTCTTCTCAGGTTTTCAACTCAATAGGTGTTTAAACACTCAGGTTTCCCCTTGCTCCAATAAGTGAATAGGCACCAGGAGTCCGACGGCTTCCAGCGCTTCTCCATGGTATGTCTTAGAGACGCCTGTGGCGTTTGGATTTTGAAATTCGAGGTCGGGGGGGGGGGGGGGGGGCATGTGTGGCGGGCAGGCTGCGATCACGGAATTGCCAAAGGATATGTCCACCAAACAGTGCCGCTTCGAGCCGTGTGACTTGGGTGGCTTCCTACTGGAGAAGGTCAAGCGTGGATTCTTGGTGCGCAAGGCAAGTTTGATCTGTGTCGTGCGAAGCTAGTTCAAGCAACAGCCTTGAAACTCTTACATGGTCTTGGTTCCGAGCGGCAGGGTCCTTTGCCCGGTTTTTTCAAGGGCGGGGTCGAGACGGGCCTTCGTTTTCTGCGCTCGGCAGCCCATGGCGCCGACGAATCCGGGCGTGAGTGCGTTTGGCACAATGGACGCTGCAAAGGGAGTGAGAGGGATCCTCTACACCATTTGCTTCACGCTCTTGTTCTTGTGGGCCACAGTGGGCTACTTCCTGGTGTACATCCAATACCTGCCCCCGGACCCGACGGACGACTACTGCGGCATCACGGCATTTCTATGCCTGTGGCTCAGCGTTTTCGCCTTCATCGACAACCCCGACGAGGCGGGGCTTTAAACGTCGCCTTCCGTGAAGGCCAAGTTGAGTGGCGGAGCGATCTTTCAGAAGAAACCCAGAACGTGCGTTTCTTTATTTCGCCTCTTAAGATCCGGAGATCCGGCTTCCAGAACTTTCAAAGTCAAGAGGAGCGCACCGGCATCCAGCGCTGGGAAGAGTTCGTGTTCATGTGGGTGCTCACCAGCGGTCTGGCGCAAGTGGGCTGGGAGCTTCCCTTTGTGCTGTGGAAGGCGAGGGCTCGCAACCTAAACAAATGTTTCAACACCATTTAGTGACCCTGAACTAAACCCCTAAAATCATGGTTCCCCCGATTTTTTTTTGTGTTTAAACTGGAGTGGTTTTCCGTCTGTATCTAAACCCGCATGCCTTGCATCCCTTGCGCGCGGCGTTTTTACAGGTGAAGTATCTGCAGCCCATCGAATCCACGGAGACGTTGAAGGTCTCGGAGCTTTGGACCTGGCCCTTCTGGATGTACGGCTCCGGGGACACGCGGTACATGCGCCAGCACAGCAGCCCCTGGCCCAATCCGGATCAAACCGCGGGGCGGCTTTTTCGTGGGTGTCCGTTGCCCCAACTTTCAGGGGGGGGGGGTGTTGCATTTATGAACCCTTCTGTGATTTCATGTTAAGATCAGGACCTAAGGGGAGCAGAACATGTTCCACTTATTTTGAAGTTTCCAGGGATTCCGCGATGTCGATTGTTTCCAAATTTGGGACCCTCCCAAAAGTGGGATTTCCATAGGCGTTCTCAAAGTTTGGGACCTCCCAAAATGGGCTTCCCTTTTTTGGTTTTCCATAGGGGGTTGTCTGAACATTGGGACCCTCCCAAAAGCGGGCGGTTCGGTTTTCCTAGGGGTTTGTCTCAACGTTGTATTTGGGAGCCTTAAAGCAAACTGTGGCTTCCGTTTCCACTAGTCATCGCCCCCAAAGGTGATCGCCATGGGCAACTGAGGCTCCCATGCCACCGAGACCATGCTGGTCCTGTCGGGGCCTTTCGAGCTCTGGGCGGTGTGGATGCTGAAAAAGAGGAGGACCTCGCCGGACGTGCCGGACGTGTTTTTCCAGCCAGGGCAATCAGATGGTGTAAAGGGACCTCATGGCTTTTTGAGATGTCTTTGGTTCAGATGCAAAGCGATTGTTGGATTTCCTCTTCAAAAAGGCCACCTGTGGGAGGAAGTACAAGACCGCCATGATCATTTGCGCGCTGACCCACTGGGGCTTCTTCTGGGCCAACACCTCGGTGATCTACATCGCGGAGATTTACGACAACTACGAGAACGTGGCAGACGGGTGGGTGGGGTACTGGGTGAAGTGGGCGGGCCTGAACCTGCAGTGGTCCGTGCTGAGCCCCATCTGCACCTTCGCCTGCCTCTGGCTCCTTTGCGGCAAGGTGCGCGAGGAGGCGCTCATGGAGGCGAAGAAACAGTAGCGAGTCGGGGGAGTCGGAGTACCAGGCGGCCAAGGCAGCCAAGGCCAAGAGGGCCAAGGCAGCCGAGGCAGCCGAGGCAAGAGGAGCGACAGTGACGCGGGGAAAAGCCTCGAGTGGGGGGTTTCCTCAGGCCTTCCGGCATGTAGCTGGTGAGTTGTGAAGCTGCCACTCTCACCAAGGAATGCAGGACCGCGACGTGGACATCGTTCTTTTCAACGGAGGAGATATCCGAGGCCGCAAGGATTACAAAGCCGGGCCTTTTACCATGGGCGATCTCTACAACGAACTGGCCTTTCATGAGGCCGCTTGGCTCGAGGATATTTGAGCAATGCCGACAAGCGTCTAGGCTTTGAGCGCAGGTTGTCGTTTGCTTCCTGAGCAAGGAGGTTCCTGGATTTCCTCCCCGCAAGAGGCTGTACTACGCAAGGTTTCTTAAACTCTTTCACATGTCCCCTTGGAGATCACCCCACAAATGATAATCTCAGTTAACTGCGTGGCCTGACTTAAAAGGTGATGCTCCAATCTTCCGGAAATCCAGTTCTTTGGACCCTCGCACCGTTTGACCGTTGGACCCGCATCCGACGCTGAGCCGCTGGCGGTGGTGACCATGAAGGGCGCCCAGCTGGCGGCGGCGGTGAAGTTCTCGCGCGCGGGGACGGCGGAGAAGCCAGGGTTCCTACACACGGACCTGGACTCCGAGGCGGACAAGGAGCACAACCTCACCAAGGCCAGGCTGACGGGGCGAGGGGGGAAGGGTTCGGTTCAAGGCGGTTTTGAAAGGAAGGGGGGAAAGGAGTTTGGAGCTCAAAAAAGGGGGCTGGCAGCTGTCAAGCTGCAGACAGCTGCAGTTCTGCAGGCCATGTTGGCATTGGGTGCAGGTGAACAAGAGGCCCTTCGATGCGCAGAAGGAGTACAAGGCTAGGGAATTTGGATCGCTGAGGGTCTGAGTGGGGTCTTGGCAGGTTGCAGTGCAGCGGGTGATGCTGACGGGGATGAACAATAACACCCCGTTGATGGAGTTCGGGAAGGCAAATGGTGTGCCAAGCGAGGACAGCGCGCGGATCTGCAGGTCGAGCTGGATGCTCACCGTTTCTAGCTGAAAACATCTCTTTTTGCTTCTAAAGCTCGCTTTTCCATGCTGCCTCTCTTGTCTAAGATGCGTGACCCACGGCCGTCAGCAAATGGAGTGAGTGAGTCAGCAGGGAGAAAGGGGTAAGACGATGCAACATTTTGAATGTAATTACAAAAGAGAGAGGGAGGGAGAGAGAGAGAGAGAGAGAGAGAGAGAGAGAGAGAGAGAGAGAGAGAGAGAGAGAGGAGAGGGAGGGAGGGAGGGAGGGAGGGAGGAGGGAGGAGGGGGAGGGAGAGGGAGGGAGAGGGATTGGGGAGGGAAGGTTTGTTCCGAAAGACGGGGGACAAGGGAATTATGACCGACTCGTGCCCATCTGTCTCTCGTCTACATCTTACGTCTCTTTCCTTCGCTCGGCTGTTTCTTTTCATATTATTCTATCTCTTGGAACATGGGTGAGGGAAGATAGTAAGAAAGAAATGAAGATGACGGGCCTTTTCCATCGTTCGCGCGCCATCATGTGGAGAGCGAACATCGTCTCAGCTGCGCGCGTCGGGAGGAGCTTTGCCGGGATGCCAAAGAGATGGTGCTGGTGGTGTGCATGAAGGACATGTGGCGCCAGGTGCTAGGCTTCGGAGTGTGGGACTCGAGCCCCGGCAAGCGAGCCACAGTTCCCAGTTCGTAGGGGCGGAGGGGGAGGTGGAAGGGGGGTGTCATAGCTCAGGAAGTCGGAGGGGAATGTGAGCCCCAAGAAGCTGCGGGAAGCCCTGATCCAGGCCTTTGAAGAGATGGATAAGGACAAGAGCAGCTTGGCCAGTCCTGTGGTTTGAATGGTTTGAAGTGGCCAGTCCTGCGCCTTGTATACATTGATCCTTTCTCTCAGGCGGTGCCCTGGACATCAAGGAAATCGAGCAGTTTTTGTCAAAGCGCTTGCCGAACTTCGCCTCTGGTTCTCTCGCCACACGGCTGCCACTCGGCTCGAAGGGCCGGTTGCCAGTATGGCCATCCAATATCCCGTTCCTTTTGCCAGGCAATAAGTTCCTTTCTCATCCATTTATTTTTCTATCATTTCCCTCATATTCCCTTTCACCTATCACATAAAGACAAATCAATTAACGGGTGAAAGGAGAAGGGACATGATTCCACGGCGTCTCTTTGTCTCCTCCCTCCGTTCGGTCGAGAGCCGATGGGAAAGAGAAACGCGGGGATTTTCGTAGAGCGAGCCAGATGAGGTTCCAAGCTGCCGACCGAGATGGTAATGGCAAGGTGAACTTTGAGGAGTTGGCGAACTTTGTGCACTGATATCGGCTTGCAAAATGTAACGCCCTGGGTCATGTATGATTACCTGTTTGAATTGCGCGAGCGACCGTGAAATCCAAGCGTCGGTAATCCGTTGCTGCTTTCTGTTTTTAGAGCTGTTTTGGGGTCATGTTTAACGAGACTCCAAGAAGGCTCCGGAGCCCGCGGGACCCTGCAAAATGCCAGTGGAAGGTCCTTTGGCTGACTGTTCACTGCCAAGACGGCTGCAAAAAGAGGCCGGCCTGCTTCACCTCAAGAGAGGGTTCAGGATTCAGGGCAGCCTTTGACTTTAGCGGTGCTCAAGCAGCTCAAGCGCCATGCACTCAAGCACCGGGCTTTCTGATGTGGCCGGTGCCTCAGAGCAAATGCCCAGGTTTGTCTTCCAGTCCAAATCGCACAGGTCCCAAAGCATGGCAACATCGAAGACTTGAGCCCAGAGAGGCAGGGGGGCGAATCGCGGCGACCGCGGCGCTCGCGGTGCCTGCCTTGTAGGACGGGGCCTGAATCCGAGAAATCAAATGGAGCTGCAGGCCAGGACGGCCAACAGAGATTGCAGTGTCAAAGAATTGGCGGTTGAGGCCCGAGCGATTCCACGTGGTGTGGGTTCTCAGATGCGGTGCTTGATGTCTTGCCTGAGTTGTAGTTGGTCAACTTGAGACCACAAACAGGCACCCAATTGCTGATCTGAGGCTACAGCGAGTACAAAAGCCTTTGCTTTGGCTGCTTGTGATAGGAGCGGAGCAACCAGCATAGCCGTTCCATTTCCAGCTGCAGTGATTCTTGCATGAGATTCCCTTGGTTCGCTGTACCAACTCTGTTTCACATTACAATTAGGAAATCTGCACATTATCCACAGGGTCCCTGAAGCTTCATGCCCTGTGTTTCATGTCATGGCCCCGCGCAAGGATACTTGGTGGCAGCCTTGTGCCACGATGCTCAACACGCTCTGCCCGCTGTTTGCCTGGCCGCCATCGTCGGATGCTGTCAGCTTTGGCCGCTCAGCTTGCATTGGGCTTGCTTTGTGGGAAACTGGCTTTGGCCTCTTTCTTCTGATGCCAAAGGAATTCTCCTAAACTCGGGCATCATAGAACTTTCCACACCACGCTGGCCACAAAAGTAGAGCTGCTACAGACCAGCTTCAGGCTGAGAACAAGCGCACGAAGGCGTCTTTTGTTGTTTGTTGATGGAAGTGGAAAGGATGTTCGGGCTTCCCCAACAGTATGGAGGCGGACAAAACACACGAACACCTCACTCCCCGAAAAAAGAGGGGTGATTGTCACCTGGTTGTCTTTCGGTTTCTGTAAAAATATCCACATGCCGACGTCAGGAGCGCCTTCTGCCAGCGCACGGGCCAGGATTTGGACCAGCTGCTGGCGGTGGCCTCAGACCGCCTCGGGGGGGAAAATTGGTGTGTCTAATGAGGACACCGGGACACCTATGGCTCAACGATTCCTCTTGAAACCAAACCAACTGGTTTGAAAAAAGAAGAGATGGAAGTTGAAGCGGGGGCCGTGGGGGGCGCATGAAGTCATAAATCAGTGTGCTGAGACTTTGGAGGATCTGCCGAGATGCTCCAATTTTTGGTATCAATTACAGCAATCACCGATTTTCGTGACGTCGCAAGGCGTCCAGATTATGTTGGACTTCTCTCAACGGATGGTTGGTTTCCTTTTGGCATCCGTCCAAGCTCCGTTCGAAGCCAGGCAGAAAACTCAGTAATGCAGATGACTTGTTTCAGGCTTATCTATTTTTCCAATTTGGTAGCTCAAGCTTCACTCTTTTTCCTTTGGCCACATGTGTTTGTTCTAGATTCGCCGGAGCCATGCAGGCCCTCAACCCAAGGTGCATTGCGCCGTGTTCTAAAAGGGAATCTAAATGGCAGTCAGCGGACGAGATTCGGTTTCAGAGCAGGTTTTCATGCCTGCCTTCTTTGAACTGACTATCCCGATCTTCGGAATTCGATTACACCATAGAATGGCTTTGATTTCAAGTTCCTCGCAATCCGTTTGGTAATGTTCCACTGATATGTTGTGCGACCACAAGAAGGGGATATTTGTTGCCTGAGGCATGGGCTGTGGTACCGCCACGCTGCCACCAGCCCCTGCTGTGGGGCTCGGTGTTGGCTCTGCTGGTGGTGGTGCTGGTGCTGGCGTGGGACCCGGGGTCCCAAACAACCCCAAGCCACAAGGCCAATTTCTGGAGACGTCTTTTTTTGTGGCAGATTTTTTTGATAATTTTAGCATTTCCAACCATTAGAAGGGGGATTTACCTCAGAAGGGCGCCCAGGAAAGTTTCTAACCCATCCGTGCGGCAGGATGACTGGACCCGGCTGATTCCTGCTGGCGGACTTGTGCTGCTGGTGTTCTTGACCTGGCTCTGCTCCGCCCATCGGAGCCTCACACAAAGCATGGGCTGGCTGGTTGGTTGCTTGAACGGATGGAGGGATGGATGGCTTGGTCGGCCAACAGAAGCGGCACGTGGCTACTGCACGAAACACATATTATGAATTATACAGTCATATATGTATAATATATATATATATATACATATACTCTTTATATATATATATATATAATTGTTACGTCTGTTGACTCTCTTATACACACACATGCACACATCAGAATCCCAACCTCTAATGAATGTCCAAACCTATGCCCTCAGTGAGCCCGATACCGGGCTTTCACTGAGCCTAAACCAGCCCAAAGCAGGCCAAAGCCAACCTGAACTCAGCAGTCAACGAGCTTCAACCCCGCCCAACAGTCAGACCGAACCAAATTTACTGGCCTCAAATCAGCCCTACAAAACAACATACGACACGACAACCATGCACTCGCCCTGAAAAGCAGCCCGAGGGCAAGCAAAAGCACTATGAGCTCTGGCTTTGGCCCAGCTGTGCAGTTTGGGCGGCGACACCGATTGCAGACAACTATTTGTGCCCTTGGACACGTGAATCAGCTAGATGATGGAGAGTTTCAGCTTGGACTCTCTTTCGTGCTCTTGATCGGGGTATCCTGGGGTGACCCGTAGGGTGCGTGTCTTAGGGCTCGCTGTGCTTTTCGCCTTTTTCACAGCCCGTGTTTGTCCAGCTCAGGTGCCACGTCTCCTGGCGGCCAGTCATTACGGGCATCATCATCCAGTTCGTCTTTGGCGGCTTTGGCTCAAGGCATCAGGCCAAAAGGCGGACACAGGGTGTGTCCAAAGATGTAGATGATCTCCCACACATGTCTCCTTTTGGTTTTTCTTTAAGCACTCTTGGTTTTCCTTTGCCGGAGCCGAATCCCAATCCGCACTTGGAGAGACGGCGACGTTCGGATGGCGTGCCACGCACGAGGCCTCCTGATCATGCGAACCAGCTTTGGCTTCACTGCCTTCCAGAGGGCAGGGGAACTGGCCACAGACTTTTTGAGCTTCGCCAACAAGGGCTCAGAGTTTGCCCGACCGCCCAGTTCCGCAGATTGGAGTATGAGACAGTTTTATGGAACACCGTGAATCCATTGGAACGCAGATGGTCGACAGCGGCAACCATCGAGGTGTTCAATGCGTTCGGGTTCGAAGTTTGGAAATTCAGAGTTTCATGGAAGTATGCTATGCTTGCATTCAGCATTGAATTGGATTCGGAATGCACAATGCCCCCCAATAAACAGAACATATTCAACTCTCCCGAAAGCCCAAAATGGGCGATCGGGCTGATCGGTTGGCTTCCCCTGGCCCACAAAAAGCTCAGCCTCAGTCCGAGTCCGGCCTAGGTCTTCGGAGAGCGCTACGCGGAGTTCTTCTTCGCCTTTAAGGCCTGGCCGTTGCAGGCTAGGTGGCAAGGCGCACAGGGATGCAACTCGCAAGCGCGGACAAGCGAAGACTCTCAGACCAGGGCTAGTCGCCTTGCGAAAGAGAGAGCGGGCTTGGCCATCGCGAGGTGCTGCCGGTGGTGGTGTTCTTTAGCTCCATGGTGGCGGTGGCCTACCACCTGCAGCTGGTGCAGGTGCGCGGGGAAGGAGGGTGATATTGGTTGCAAAAGCAAGGCGTACTTCGATGGCAGAGTTAGAACGCGCAGCAGAGTTACAGTGCTCAGCCCACTTGATCGGCGCCACTTAGTGCAGACTTGAGATGGCACTGTAGAGGTTTTTAGTTTGGGTTTCACAGTTTTACATCTTTCTCTCCATCTGCAGGCGGTGTTTCTTCGGCTGGGGTGGTTCACGCAGCGGTGCATGGGCACGTCCTACTCGGAGTCCCTGGTGGCGGCGGCCAACATCTTCCTGGGCCAAACGGAGGCGCCGCTGCTGGTGAAGCCCTTCGTGGCCAAGCTCACCCAGTCCGAGCTCCACGCGGTGCCCCGGGAAAAGAGCAACATGTTTTCGCTTTTCTTTGCGAGCGTGGGTGACGTGGGTGAAGTGGGTGGGTTTGGCGCCCTCTCCCCCGCAAAAAGAAACCCTTGCTTGGGTCACCCGAATCTGGTCCTGACAAGGGGCTTCAGTGTGGTACCCTGCTTGTATTTCAACCAAGCCAACCACCCAAAACTCGGCCTTTGCAACTGCTCGATCGATTTGCTCTTGTTGAAGCCTGTGCCACTCTCAAAGCTCTGGTTGAAGCTTAGTCAGCAGCCCCAACCAATGGGTGCGAAACTCCGGCCTCCTGAACCTTTACCGATCGGCTTTGGCAAGCCCAACCTTCTGTTCAGATTCGGGTTTGCCATGAGTCTTTTTCCCACGTGTTTGGGGGAAGCCCATGAGAGCCATAGTCAAAACCCGGGTAGATGAAGGTAAGGGATAATCCCAACTACAACTAGCTGCGGATATCCGCCTCAATTCTTGAAGCATGGTTCTGGGTGGACCATTTTGATACCGGGCTTTGAGCAAGTGACTCATGTTTCCTTTTGCCCTTTTTCCCGTTTTCCCTCTCTTTTTTTTCGTGTTTTTTTTTTTTTTCAGGTGATGACCTCGGGCTTCGCCTCGATCGCGGGCAGCGTCTTCGCGGCCTACGTGGCGTTTGGGATCCCCGCGGACCATCTGCTGGCGGCCTCCGTGATGTCGTGCCCCGCGGCGCTGGCCATGGCGAAGCTCAGCTTCCCGGAGACCGAGCTCTCCAGGCGGGAGAGAGGGGGGGGGGGATGATGGGATGGGTTTGGGGTCGGCGCAGAAAAAGGAGGAAGGAGGGGGGGTTTGGAAAGATGAAAGGAGGTGCCTGATGGCGGGTTTCTGTTTTTTGGTTTCCCTTTGCAACCGGATGGTGGTGGGGGAAACCAGCGGTTGAACATTTCATACACTCAGGGTAGCACTCCATTTCCCTTCTTCTGAGTCAATTATCACGATGACATTTATGGCCCAGAGGTACATGAGGTAGGTTCCCATGTAGTCAGTTGCATGTTGTACATTCAAGTCATTGCCAAAGCATGATCCAATCACTGCTTTGGCTCAAGTGCTGAAAACAGCGCGTTGCACCGCGCTAGCCACAAGGTCAAGGGAGAGGTCGCAGTCACGGAGGGGTTCGTTCCTTTTAAGGTCCCGGGTTCCCCCGTTGTTGACAAAACTGTGTTTCCCTCTCCTTTGAGTGGTTATCAGCCGTAACGCTTTTCGGGTAAACAAACCCTTCCGTGACTGCGACCTGTTGGTCGCACATGGAAGTCGGCCCTCACCGCGGCACACGCGGTGGGAAAGGGCCGCGTGCCCGATTGTACAACACTCTGCAACAGATCGTCGTCGACGAGTGCAAGCGGCAGAACAGACGATTCCGGTGGGTCAGGTTTGCGGACGCCTCGAAGCAACAGGTCGAGGCGCTCTTTTCCTGGCGTGAGTCACTGGATAGTTGGCACCTGTGGAATTTTGACCAAGAAGCCTTCGACGTGATCCAGGCCGCGGACAACGCTTATCAGCAGCGTCTCGCATTGGTTGAAACCACAGGAGTGGTCTTGCCGCAAGGTGTGCCATCCCAGGATCAAGCCGCAGCCTCAGGCGCGGCGGGAGCAGTGAGCAGTGCAGCGGACTGGCTTCGTCCTCCGACGCCTCCATCAGCTTCCTCCTGGTTGCAAGATTCGCGCACTCCTTTGCCTCGCATTCGGCCATCTGCAGAGGAAAGACAAGCCGCAAAGTCAACTCTTCGCGGGGTATACGCTAAAGCTGCGGAAACGCGGCGGGAGAGCAGCAGGGAACGGTCAACACAAAGATCGAGGTCCCCATCGCCACGAAGGTCGAGGTCTCCGTCATCATCGCCGAGACGAGGACCGACTGCTGCTGCCCCTGTGGAACAACGGGCCCATAGTGTTGAACCCGCGCTTGCGCGGGAGGGAAGGCCATCCAGGACTTCCCTAGCCGCACGGCCCATCGTTTTGGCTCCACAGAATAGCATCTACCCTGTGACTAGGTTTGACGAACACGGCACCTGGGTATTGGTTCGGGAGGCATCACAACCACGTGAAGCGGCTCCTCATCGGCGAGCGCAACGGACGTCTGGGCAGCTTCGCCAAGCCGATCCGTACCTGCTCGCGGACGAGACGTGGAGGGACCCCCCAAGAAGGTCCTCCACGAGCTCACGCTCACGGTCTCCTGACCGTCGCCCGGCGCCGGCGGAGCACTTCCGCCTCGACGCCTACAGCTCGGACGAGGAACCACCGCAAGACGCGGAGTCCATCAGGACGGGCAGGGCAGCATACGTGCCTCGGCGCGTTTACGAGGCGCCGACTCACTCCGAGCCCATCGCGCTTCACAGCCGAAGAATTGGGGCAGTTCAACCGCCGCCCCCAAAGGCCGCACCCAAGGTCATCTTCGGCAGCAAGCCTCCGTTGCCCAAGGAGATCCCCAAGGCAGTTTCTTCAGTGCCGGCAAAGGCAGACATCCCGAGGAAGTCACCGCCAAGGGCCAGATCTCCGGTTCGGACTCAGAGTGCATTCGGGTACAAGGCACCTCCGCGAGGCTTGAACAAGGCCGAACCCAGAAGCAAATCGAGCTCAAACCCGCCACAATTCGGGTACATCGTCAAGCCGCCACCTCCGCAGGTCGCTCAAGCAGCTGCTGCTAGCGCTGCAACTTCTGAAGCTGGCTCGCGATTCCGCTCGCCACCAAGGAGGGCACCGCCTGCGCCCCCGCCGCCACCACCTCCGCCTGGAAGGCCGGTGCCGCCCAAGGAGCTTGTTGTTGCTCTTGACTGGCGCGGAGTTCTTGACGTTGGGCAGCAGGGACCCCACCTCAACCCGGAAGTGATCCGACATCTCGTTCAGTTTGCAGCGGACTACGCACCTATAAATTTTATAGTGCTATCCTTCGTGGGCAGGGCTGCAAGCGAGTATCGCCGCCGCGAATTCCAGGTCGCCCTGGAGCACGCGCGGACAACATTTGGACTCACTTTTTCAACGGTTGGGTAGGGGAGGCAAAGCAGACGCCCTGCAAGGGCTGGGCGTTCACGCCCTTATTGACGATACAGCATCGATTGTCCGTGAAGCTCAAAAGACAGGCATCGCGGCGTTCCGCAACTTCCCGCACTTCGGGCCGGGAGGATTTGCCAACGCACTTGAGAACCTCGGTGAGTTCATTGAATCCCGGAACAGACAATTTATTCCGGCGGCAAGGGGCCTGCATCCATCGCAGTACCTCGAGGAGCTCCACCGATCTGCATCCCAGCTGCCCGCCAGCCGGGTACTTCGATAGCCATTGCTGCAAGCCGTTAAAACCGTCGCTTTGCGCGGTACAGCATTTTGCAGTTTCAGGCATTCGATTTGCAGACAAATTCTCAATACAGCTTGGCAACATCCCTCGATAAAGCACCATAGTGCGGCAGTGCGGATCAATCAATCTACAAGTACAATTACAAATACAGAATTCATCAGGTGCAAAGCAGCAGGGCGTATTTTCTTGAGTGGCTCACTTGAGCGTTTCGCAACGTATTTTCTTGGGTGGCTCACTTGAGCGTGTCGCAACCAGCTGCCAATCCAGGGATATTTCCTCGTAGCACCTTTTGACACGCTGCTCAAAGCGCGTGGAGCTAGCTTCGTGTGAGTGCAAAAGTTGCATTGCTGTGTCATGGCTTCAACGGGTTTGTCACCGCCATCAGAACCCCGTTCAAGGTCAACCCCAAATAGGGATTCTGAACCGGATGACCCTGACCTAGCCATGGTTCCTGCAGTTATGTCCACAGTTCGCACACCCACACCTCAACGAGCAGCCCAAACACGACCATCATCACTCCCGAGTGGTCCGATCGTGTCAGAACCGACATCATCCGAAGCTTCCCCAGCCATTCAGTTTCCTTCACAGGGATCACAATTACCTGACCCGATGACTAACGTACCCGCTGCGGCATTTATAGCTGGAGCTGCGGTGCAGCAAGCTCATCGAGCATCCGACCTCGCTGCTCAGGCAGCCAATCACGCCTTGCACCAACAGCAGGCCGCCGATCAGGCGAGACAAGAGGCCGGATGGATCAGGGAAAGAGCTGTAAGAGAAGTTTCAGACGTTAGGGTTCAGGCCGCTCAGCTAGCTTCGCAAGCACAGCAGGCTGTTCAAACAGCACAACAAAGTGAGGCTCAGGCTAGGCAACTCATTGAGCAGACACGACAGGAAGCCTTAGGCCATGTCGAGAACGCACGACAGGTTGTTAATGCCACTCAACAGGACGCTCAGCAAGAGGTTCAACGCATTGTTCAAGAGGCTCAACAGGCAATCCTACAAAGGGAGCAAACCATTGCCAGTCAAGAGCATACCATTCGTGGATTGTCCCAGGAAAATTCTGTGATGCATCAACGACTTGGTGATCTCGAACGTGTTGTTGCGCAGCTCACCCAACAAGCTCGTGCGACCCCTGTTCCGATGCAAGAGTCCCCGCCAAAAGCCGCATCAATAGCCGAAACAGCTACGGAAACAAGCGCGGCTAAAGCCTCAAGTCAAGGCACAGTTCCCCCAGGAACCCATCAGCCGGTTGGAGCACCTCAGGTTTCAGGTTCACAAGATGCCTCCGGTGTTGCCGCATCGTCGCAAGGGAATGCTTTTACAAGTACTATCCCCGACCCTCCGTGTGGTTCTGTTCAAAGTTCAGGACTTGGTCACGATGCCCCAGCTGATTCAAGGGACCCTGGTGGGGGTGCAACAAGTCAACATCTCGTAGGCCATTCGGCAGTGCTAGGAGCAGCGTCCTCTGTTGGAGACGCAGCCCCCGGCGCGTCGAGGACTAGCGGGTTGGGTAGAGACGGTCCAAGGGATCAAGCCGATGTGAGAGTGCAAGTGACGGCTTTAGCGGAAATGGTTCGGCAGCTTTCCCAATTGGTTGCTAATCAAGTGGCTCCGCCACCTCCGCCTCCGGCCGCACCACCTCCAGTGCCTCCCATGCCCCTTTCTGGGGCGCCGCCTCCGCCGAAAGCTGGCAATGGCACTCATGTTCCGCCAGTACCAATCACAATGTTGGGAGGGTTGTACTCGTCATCCCCACAAGCGCCATCGGCAGCAAGCTCCGACACATCATCAGACTCTGATGGAGATGATGATACCCCACAATGTCGAGTTTGCGGCGGCAGCCATGAAGACACGGATTGCCCATACCTCACCATGAATGGTGGTGGGGGAGGTGGGGGAGGCCCTGGCCAGTTCCCCAATGCAGATCCGTCTCAGGCTGCCGATCCCAGTGTAGGCATGACCGCCATAGATCATGCCACACATGAGGAATCCGTTGTTCGCGTCAAGGACCTCAAGGATCTCGTGTTGCCATCCCCTCCGGAGAACGCTGGACAGGCTAGAGGTTTCGTCAACCAAGTTTTGATGGCCATCGGTCGACTCCAGAAGACCCCCGGAGATGAAGTTTACCAGTGGGCCCAAGCATGCATGTCCTCCACCGAGCAAGAACTCATCGCGGACAAGCGTTTCCCACGGTTAGATCGTGAAGTAGCCGCAAAGCTCCTTAAAAACTGCCGTAAAGGTAAGTTCGGGCTCTTGTTTCAGAATATGGTTGAACAAGAGAGAATCTCGTCAGATGGGATGCCCGTAGGGAGAATCATGTTGCGTGCTATCTTCAAGCACTTCCAGTTAGAACGAGGTAGGCTCGGAACCTTAGGAGGTCGCAACTTGTTAAAGTTGTCTCTTGCAGGCCCGTCCCTTGCTGACCTGGATG